CTCACTTACATTTTTTGTGCTGCAGCATCCACACACAGCTGCAATGCGGTAGATCATGTAGATCAAGTTATTTTTTTTTTATTTACTTTGATTTTTATTTTTTACTTTTCGCGATACAAACTCACTCTGGTCCTGCCGCGGTTCATTCATATCTTTTGTGATCAAGTGCGAACTTTGCAAACTCTCTGAAATTATATAACACCGAATAAATCGCGGAAATCACCATGAGGTAAGTAAAACCTAGTTTAATCTCAACCCAAAGGCATATGCGCTGCTCATGTTTGGGGAACAATTTATGCGTGGCTATTTGCGCACTGCCTATTAATAATTCATAAACAAACAGTTTATTAAATAAATGCTGTTTATGATATAGATTGTCCCAGCATTTGTACTGCAATTAATTTTTAGTGGGCTACTGTTAAAAGTAATCATTTCAATTATTACAGCTAAAATGATCATCAATTAGTGAAATCAATTTGAGCGCCTGTATATTGCATAACGTTACTTGATATGGGGTGAGAGGAAAAGACGCATATATGTATAGGCATATCTGCATATGAAGTGTCATGTAATTATGCAGTTCAATGCAGCATGGCACTGAACTTGAGAGATCTTGTTTGTTTAGTATACATCATGCTGAGCTTATATGACTCTTCTGTTCATGTTATAAAGTAAATGAGCATAACAATGTGTTAGCACCTTGGCTTCATTTTCGAGGACGATGCTCATTCAGATCAGTAATTTCCCTGCCTTTATTATTAGATTGAAATATTGCTGTTTCCTTTTTTAAATGTAGTGACGTTTGACTCTGATTTAAAATGTATATATATAGTCATACACTGTTTAGTAATAACGATTGACTAAGCTGGATTGGATCCATTACATTACATTGTGATGTAGGCATGTTCCCAGTGTCTGGCGATCTGGTGAGAGCATGTGTTTAAATGTTCAAGCCTTGCTTTGATTATCAGAATAACTAAGTATCTCCTCCCACACTTCCACTGAAGACATATGAAGAAAGAGCCAGCTGTTGGCAGCCTCCCTTCAGCAGAAACAAGCTGCCTTTAAAGCAGAGTTTGAATGATATGACATAACCTTTCCCTTAGGTTTAGATTAATCTCTTCTGTATTTGTATTATTTGGCCTGTCTTCCCACGAACCATGGTGTTACATAGTAAAGCACCTTAGATGTACGTGGGTTGCCTCTTGTGTCAAAACAGGATTGTCTCTCGCTCGAGAGTGATTGAGCGGAGGCGAATGTTCATGTTTGTTAGCCGTAACAGGTGTGGTTTTGTGTGATTTTAAGACCCAGACTGTTCCCTCTTACTCATCACGAGCATGTGTTGGGAAGTGTCAAGCTTTTAACTGTGTGACACGACCGTAGGTTTATAATAATAATAATAATAATAATAATAATTCGTTACATTTATATAGCGCTTTTCTGGACACTCAAAGCGCTTCACATAGAAGGGGGGGATCTCCTCAATGTATAATGTGTATGAGGAATTAACCTTATTGTATTAACAACCTTTTTGTGAATCAAATTCATTAATTTAGGACAAATTTGTTTCTCGTGATCTTAAAAAGTGCATGAGCATGAATTTCTGTACACAGCTAAATTTGTAAATAAACTTATTTAGTTATTTTTTATAAATGATAAATCTTTTTAAATGGTCTAATTAGTTAATGGAAATTATCCAGTGTCCAACATGCAAATGACTCAAAACAAAATTTTTTTTAATTAAACTTTTACATTTTTTCTTAAATGTGGAAAAAGTAGCAGTCACTCTGTAAAAAACAATCTTTTCATGATTAGTTATCAAGCAGATAAGGAACTCCCGCACACTATCATTACTTGCACTTTTTAATCAAGTTTATTCACACACAACGTTTCGGTCACACGACCTTCGTCATGATTAGTTATCACAAATTTTTTTCTTTTGTCAAATCAACTT